ATTCAGAGTTGAAAAACGCCCCTGTCTGAACTCTCTCCAAGATTTCATCTCTATACGATTTAGGAGGTCCTCAGTTTCAGAAACGTGTAGATTTCTTCTTTGTAAAATCTCAATTCTGTCCCTTTCTGTAGAAAGCTTAAGTCTTGCACAGTCCCTAACCAATCCATTATTTGGATAAGCACAGACCCTTCCTCAGCCATTTTTCTTATGTTTGTGCTTTCATTCTAATATTTGCAAATTCCTTAGTGAAGAAAAAGAGACTATTTCACTTTTGTGCAACTAGAATGTGAATGTGCTCAGCTTCAGAGTAAGAGAGCACAACTTCCAAAAACATATAGACCAACGTAACAACCCATATGGAAAAGATATATTATATTTATATATCTTATAAATGTATCTCTTTTGTCTGAAACTTGTATGTAAAGCATAAAACAGTGAAACCAGATACAAGATCTTTAGTAGATTTGAATGTGTTTATTAGAACAACGTGTGAATAAGGTAAATCATATAGTCTTTATATGATGCTCAATGCATGAAAAATAGTTACATATTTTTTAAAGAAGTCTTTTTCTATTTCTTTTCCGTTTGGGAAAAATTGACAACCGGCTGCTACCAATTTCTTCCAGGGGCATCCACAGGGAAGCTGAGAAGACACAGCCATGAACACCTGCAAAGTTACAAAACTAACGGAAATCAGAACAGACAGCAACAACACCAGCAGCAAGAACATGGAACAAACTTGATGATGCTAATGCACAAAACAACAGACCAGAACAGCCTCTTACGAGCACAAAAATTTATATTTATGTCTGAGAATGCATTAATTGTGATGTAGGTCTTGTATGAATTGTGCTCAGTTTTGGGTGCAGAGGGCCAGTGCATCGCATTCCACCACATTATTCCTTTTTTATGAGTTATTTGATTTTTATGTGAATTTCACAGGACGTATGTCACATTAGGAAAGAAACTGCACTGAAATTATTCATCACGGTCTCAATTTGTGAAGAATCAAAGCCAGGATTTTTTTGATAGAAGTGTGTAAAGCTCAGTTACCTAATGTTCCTTAGAAAATATCCTTAGAAAACCAATGAAATTACACTTCTTAAGGTCAAATTTTTAATCTTTTTCATAATTTTACTCAACAAGCAATGTGATTTTTGTCTAAAACCATCACATAAATCAACATCAGGAACAATTAACTTGAGAACCGTTTTCCAGAGGGCCAAAAAAATGGAATCTGTACAGTGAAATATGTTAAAACTCGCAATTGTAAAAGCTCAGAAATGTCATTCTTTAGTTCTTCAGAAAGTTGCTCTTGTCCTTAACATCCTGAAAAATTAACTGTTAATGTTTTATCAAAATAATTTTTCAACCAGTTCAAACATCTATTCTTCAAAATTAACATCACCTTTAAACAAAATAGCAGCAACACATACTAGCTAAACATTTTTCTTTTTTAATAGTAATGTTACAGTTCCTTTTTTCCTTTCTATTACTAACCTTCAAGAATGCAATGAAGTTGGAGTGCTCATTGGTGTGGATGTTTGCAGAATGTGAGAAAATTACTGTTTCCTTTCCGCTGAATACCTTTTGTCCAACTTCAGTTCAAATGCTTTTCCACTGGTTTGTTATCTAAGCAGCCTTCCTTCTGAACATTGAGAGCTTTAACTAAATCTTTAGTTCTAAAACAAGACAAAAACATAAAAGTAACATGTCACACAATATGTACAGTGACTCCATCCAAAAAACAAACCAAAAAATGTATATATGCAAGTAAATCCAATACAGCTGACTCTTTCAAAACATACTATTATTGAAATAGTTTATACTGTATGTATCCCAATGCTTTCAGTTTATGAGCTTATTCATTAAAAAAAATATATATATATGCACACAAACACAGAAAAGAAATGTTCAGTATAAAAGAGTTGACATAAACCAGCAATTTCAGTTTGATACAAAATGCATCTGAGTAAAAAATACATTATTGATATTTTACTACTTTTTTAACTTTATTTTTTCTACCATATACTCTTACATACAGACATAAATATATGTAATATCTTAATCCATCTTTGTTGGGGTGCTTCCAACAACTGCTTGTTACTGCTTCCTCTTGCTGTTCCTGTTGATATCAGTCCATTGTTTTTTCTTTTAAGTGGCCCAGGACATTTTTTTATTATATTTTCATCAAACATTTAACATTGGAAAAACACAATATAGAACATTTTTTGACAACTTCACAGAATAAATGACAGTGCAGGAAAAAAAGCCTAAAAAACAAAACAGCAACAAAACACAGAAGCTAAAAAATAAAAATGTTTCTGTTTCTGCGCCAATGTCGGTGAATGTGAATTCATCCATTTTATTTTTCACCATGTTCCAAGCAGTCATCAAGAGTACAGTAAATGCAACAGGTACTTTTGGTCTCTGGTGTACATGTCTTCAGGAGTTATTTTTCAGGAGAACAAAAAGAAACTGACTTGTACATCACTGGTACATCGATTCCCAGAACTTTATCTATCTCACTTTTTACCCACCTCCAAAAAGGAAGCATCATTGGACAGTCTCAAAGTATGTGTAAACACATACATACACACACGCACACACAAACACACACACACACACGCACACACACATGGTATTTATATGATATATATATTGTGGTTTAAATTTGGCCAATAAAGCAATTTCTGATTCTGATTCTGATATAAGAGTGTTAATGTATAAGCAAATGTAATGGACATAATTACAGCTGACTTTAACAGGCTTCTCTAATGGAAGTTAATCCCAGTATTATCAGTGATGATATCCTTGTACCAATGTCATTGCTACAATCCAACAACTCCCAGCGCTAATTATGTCCTTATCACATGTATTTCGGCAGTATTTTGGGAAAGTCACACATAAATAGAAACATTCTGAGAGGTTGGCTGTGTCCATATGTGTGTTCGAACATGTGCTCTTTGTGTGTCTGTTGGAGGCTCAACGTTTGCTCTCTTCTCTTCTATTTTCTTCCCCACATTTCTCCACCCCTCTGTCTCTGTTTTTCTTCCGACCCTGCTCTCATTCCATTAGGTCTTCACAATACACACTCACACACTCACACACACGACAGCCCCTGAATGCCTCATCTTTTCCACCAGAGCGAGAGGATCAGAGGGAGAGAAGTGACGGAAGAGCAACATCAGCATCCCTCACATTCATCTCCCTCATCGAAGACATAGGAAGATTGGGAAGTGAGGAGAAGAAGCAAAAGAGGGAGCGCAAAAGAAAGAAGTTTTTAGTTGAGGCGACAACCAGAGAGGGAGATTTGGAGCTTAGTGAGTGGCAGAGTGGGGGATCAAGAGCTTTTTTTTTTCTCTATTTTTCTTTTGGTGGCAGTTGATGCTGTTTGGATCCTGTATTCTCCCTCTCTTCTCCTCCTCCTTCTTCTCTGCTCCTGTTCTCATCCCGACTCCCCTCCCAGCTCCCGCCGTGGGGTCTCAGCTTTCCATCTCCCTCCCCCCCTCCCTGGCTCCCTACCTCCCCCGGGCGCTGCTGGGAACCTCCGGGCTGCTGCGCCGCAGGAGGATGTCTCGCAGGGAGTCTCCGCCGCCTCCCTCACCACCTCCACGGCTGCTGGGAGTGCAGAGGGGAGACGGGGAGGATCGTCCGGAGCGCGCCGAGCCACTGTCTGACACCGAGAGGGAGATCATCCAGGACACATGGGGCCACGTCTACAAGAGCTGTGAGGACGTGGGCGTTTCTGTGCTCATTAGGTGAGTTCTGTTGAAGAATCAGATGCAATGAGGCATACATTATCAATAGAGGCATTCTATGAAAACAAGTGTCATCAACACTTTGCTTTACCATCAGATTTAATTTTTGTGTGCGTTTGAGCTTGAGAGTGTTTCATGAACATCCACACTGACTGAAATATTTTTCAAGATAGAAAATAATGGACAAATTATTTAAATGCTATGTTTTCAGGTGTTTTGAATAATTTATTTTTTCTTGCTTGTATTTCCATCACGTACAAAATCAGCCCTACTTTCACTGTGAAGACTACAGTACACTTAAAAAATGTCCCTTAAGAGTGAAAATAACGCTCTGGGGGAAAAAAAGGACTGTAAAAACCTGATCGGGCATTTTAAGAAATCATTGAAAAAGCAATTACCCTACTGACTAATTTCTAATAGTAATTTGACTATGTGCTAATCATAAAAGGACATTGTCATAAAATGTATTCAGAAGTTTAAAAGATAAACCCAAAATCCTTGTAACTAAAAAGATCATACGAAAAGCAGCATTTTCTCAAAGTATCTTTTTTAACATGAAGACAGACTAAGGTGAGCAAGGTTATTTACAAATGCAGCATTATGGCTGTTTGGAAAAAGGAGGGAAAAGTAAGTGAAAAAGTAATGAAGGCCAACAATAAATGCAAACATTTGAAGACTGTAGATTTCATATACCATGCTTCAGATTTATGACAGAGCAAGTGCTACAGAGTGGATGAACGAAATTACAGTCAGTACTGACACAGTCTTGCTTTTAAAGATTAAGGTTGATTTGTTTTTATTTCAAATGTTTCTTTCATATTGGAAAAAATAGTCTGAGTTGGAATAAGGATTCCTCTTGTTCCACTTCATTAACTGTTAAACAGGTTTTCTTGTAAGTGGAGTAATTCTCACACCTCTGGGTGAACTAAAAACAAAACCTTTGATCATGCGGGTTCAGGTTCTAAAAGGTCAACTAAATTAATTCTGCAGCTTGTCTGCACAATGTCAAGGCTGGCCGAGTAAAGAAAAAAAAGAGGACAAAATTAAGAGGAAGCTGTTCTGAACAGAAGAAACGTAACCAGGCAAACGAATTGAAATCATTCCACAACTGTGCATCTCCAGCAATGCTGCAACTCTCCAGGCACTTTGGCACATTTGCAAAAATGTCCCAAAGGTGCTTGTATGAAGATGTCGCACCCTCCAGAAATGGAACTCCTGTTCCACAGCATTGACGGATTGAAGGATCGGGGAGCTACTCTTTTTCTGAGCCAGACCACACAGTAAACAATTCTTGGAAATTTGTAGGGGATTTTCAACTGTAAATTTCTGAATTTCACAATGAACGTCTCTGCTAAATTGATATCCATTGCAACGTGTTGGTACTGTTTTGGTTCAAATGCATTGAAATGTATGTGTTCAGAACTGCACCAGGGTGTTGTCATCACAGTCACACCGTGCACAGTCACAGAGGCATCTTTTGACAAGACTATCAATAGATAAAAACAATTTCCACTTCTTTTTTAGGATGAGAACATACAGTCCCATTTCAGTTTGACTTGTTGAGTGTAAACTCGACAGAGTAATTAAGAGCAGAGAGACAGAACAAAATCATCTGGATGTCTCCTCCAGTTTTGAAAATCTCTTTTTTGTGTGAGGTTAATTGCTGACAAGCATCTGGAGTCATATAAATATACACATCGAAGAAATAGAAATATGAAATGTAGCTCTGAAATCTACCTGAAAAATAATTTTGCATTACCATGTATTTGCATTCCTTTTTCCATGTCTTTATTTTCAACTTTGAACACATGGTTACTTAATCTATCACAGCCAGAAATACATCTTTTGAATGTCCTCAGAAAAACCGCTCAGTGTAACAATGAACAAGCCCTGAAGGTCCTGTCTAAATGGACAGCGAGTTGTAGCCAAGGAGACTGATGTTACTGAGAAAAACTGATTTTCAGTTTAAGGTGATGAGATTCCCTGAGCATATGTCTGGAAGCAGCAGAGAGCATCTTTTGTGTGCGTGTGTGTGTGCATCTGTGTGTGTGTGTGTCTTGTGCTCTTATCTGCAGATGACAGCAACAGGCTTTGACACTTGAAAGCCTCCCACTATGCTTCAGAATCTGTTATATTACTCCTTAAGATTTCGGTTTTTATTAATTTTTCCATTATATTTTCTCCTTGTTTCATAAAAGGTGACATCATTTATCTTTTAGAACAAGAGGAGCATCAATATAGCAACGCACTTCCAAGCATAAAATATTCCAAAGATTTAAACTGGTATAGATACTTAATGACAGTTGAGAGCTTGTCATAGCCCAGAAAACAACACAAATCCTACGATGTGTGAACAGACTGCCTGGTAGACAATGATAGAGTATAATTAAACAGCTAAACAGCTATGTCTGATAATTACTTGCATAATCTATTTAATAACTCACAGCGGCAGGGTCTTTGGAGTAATGAATGGCATGTGAAAAACTGCGGCTCCAAAATATGGATTCATTTTGGAACCATGTTTTTCTGTTGACACATGTAAAGACTTTCAAATATTAAATCTTCTGTAAATATAATCAAAAGATCCAGAGAATCTGGCACTTATTTCTGTGCTCAATAGATATGGCTACAAGTCTAATTTGGAAACTCGTGATCTTCTGGTTCTTCGACAGCCCTCCACCAATCACAGGATTAGGTTGTGTGCAGTACACTTTGAGAATATATTTTCTGTAAATACATTTTACTGAAGCTTACACAAAAAGGTTTAAGCTCTGTGGTGCAAAGAAGAAACCACCGCTTTTTGGGTGTCGTTATTACTCAGTTTAAAAGCATGGATCTCGTACTGTATGGGGAAACAGACATAGAACTGGCATAGATGCCACCAGTGCCGATAGTATACATATATATCTTAGAGCAAAAGGTGCCTCTCTCCAGACATCCATCTCACTTAAGCTTTTGCAAATTTCAGCAAGACACTTCCAAACGACACAAGGCATCCAGGGCAACAGCATGGCTTTATAGTAGTAGGACACGTCCTGCCTAGGACTGCCTTTAGTGACGCCAGTTCACAAATGAGAGACCAGACAAAGCTAAATATAAGTAAGAATCATGACTCCTGAGACACTAGAATGTAAGGTCAGACAAGAATTTCTCTTCCAAAGGCTATCTCTGTTCTTACACATTATGGTCATTCATAGAAGGAGTTTGGTGGCAAACTATGTTTTGGCACCAAACTAGACTTAGACTTTTATATTAGTGTGGTTAGACTTCCACACTAATTAAAAAAACATTTTAGCCATTAAGACACTTTCTCATAATTGTGTCCTCATATGAACTCTGCTTCCAACTAAATCAGTTTCCGGATGTCCAGAATTAAACAGAAAATTGTAATCCCAGAGGTGCTGACTAATACTGTATCTGGTATTTGCTCATTTAAGTTTACGTGTCACTGGCTGTGGCATTATAATAAATTAACAGACAAGTGTGTGTAACAGTCACTGTGTAATTATAATCTGCTGCCTTGAATTGTGTGTCCTCATAGAGGATCACATTTTGAGCTTGCATCATTAAGAGCACCGCAGAAGAATCTCAGAATCTCCAATCAGGACACCCATTTACATTTTCACATCAATCTTTCTGCGTGAAAGAATGCAAAAACCCCAGTTGATTTAGCTAATGCGTGCAAATGCAATTGCACCAAAGAGTGTGGGTGCCCAAGGCTTTGGCAGAACACTGCATATGGCAGATTGGTGAAAACAATCAAATCAAGCATACTTTGATTAAAAGAGTGTTTTTGAAGGCATAATGTAGATGTGAAAAATCAAGAAAGTTTTCATTCTCAAACAAAAATACAATACTTTGACGGAATGTTGCATGATTAATTAGGGATATTCAGCACATCATAAAGTTGGTTAAGTCATGTGAATGTTTTTGTGTTTGATTACTTTGCTGTAAATGACGGTGGTTTTTTACTTTTAGTACTCTTAATAATACAGTACTGTTGTAAATGATAATAGAAATACACACTTAACATGCAGAATATAAAGACATAGTGACTTGGAATCCTTTTTATAGATTTTAAGATTTTCAAAAACCTGTAAACATTTGTTAATTTCTTTGCTGAACCATGCTAAACCATCAACATGCTAAGATCTTAATAATCTGTATATTGTGCCAAGCACAGTAAATAATCTTCTACATATCTTGGTACATGAGAAAATGCAATAATCTACAGTTGCTTACAGACTATTTTTGGCTTTTATCCTAAAACCTTAGAATGGTTTCAAATATATTTGCTTACATTCTTGCTTTTCTAAAAGAAAAAAAAAGACTTTTTAATATTCACAGGATGAATTGTTTTCATATTCAAACACCAGATGGAAAATATTTCTATGTGCATGTTTCTGTGTTAGCTTTCTCCCTGCTTTGTTTCTTTTAATGTACCAAAACCCATGCCTTGGTTTCAGAACATTAAACAATGAAAAGCTCTTACTTCTTAAGGGGAAAACATCAAAGAAAACCTGTTCTTTGAGTGCAGCAGTTAACTTCCATGTTTGACTTAGCAGAACAACAGCTTCCAAGGAGTCTAAATTGTCTGTGTCACCAAGCAATAGAGTCTGAAATCTGAAATATTCACGTGTATTCACATAGCAGCAAATGTTTTATTTCTCCATGCAAAGGAGGAATTGACAGAGAAGTTCCAAGTATGGCACAGAAATTGTTCTTAGTTTGAACACAGTGAACTGCTGTTTAATTCTAGAAGCTCAAAGACAAATATGCTTCTTTAAGATCTTCAATAATGAATGCAAGCTGCATATTGCCATTTTTTTAAAATTGGCCTTTATACATTTTATTAAAGTTTTTTCATTTTTTGAAAGATACAAATAAGAACATACAAAAATGTACCACTTATCAAGGGTACAATGCTAAGGGTGCAGCTGGTGTGGCTAAGCTACTGTAAGTTTGTGGAACCATTCTTGCACCTTGATATGTTTCTGTTGTACAGATAGGCTGCAAATGGACTCAATCCAAATGGAAAACAACTGTACAAGCAGCTATATTTAGTTGGATCACATAAAAGAGTTAAAGTAGGTCACAACAGAATCCGTATTGGTCAATTACACTGTAAATTTCTACAAGTAAAGGTCTGCATTAACTTGACTTTGCATTGCCAATTAAAATCTGTCATAGTTAATCTCCTGCTACAAAGCTTCTAGAGACTTCCTTTTCAGCTAAGCATTCACTCTTTTGCCACTTTTACTGATATGTTTGGACTCCAAAGAAAGCTCTGATTAAAACCGTCAACACGATTTATACTTTGTTTGTCTCCCTGGTTACATCTACCAATGTAAGTAAGTATGTAAAAGGGTGGAATTTACTATGTAAGCATATGGAATAACTGATTATACAAAGTGGGCTCAAACATTATCTGAACAGACAGACCAAAGAGTCAGAAGTCTCCTGTGGTTCCAGAGTTTAGGTTAAAAGAAATCATTTTTGCAAAGTCCTGATGTGGAGCTCCATATGATTTTGTTTTTAACTCAAACTTGTGAAACGTTAATACAGGCTATAGTATGTCTAGGAGGAATTGGTTAGCTGTTAGGTTCATCCGGATTGGCTTTTTTTTTTTAAATATAGTCTGCCAACCATTTCTTCTCACGTTACAAGAGTATAACCAAAAATGTTTTTCTTTTTTTAATATAATTTTGCTGAAAAATTTCATTCATTATATTAAACAAAATCACGAAAAACAAGCCAGCACAGGAGATATACATGCAAAGTAAACTTAACACTGGTTACATTTAACATTTAAGTGTGATCCTAAAAAAAAGAGCTTGCTATGTTTTGTTATAGACGTCTGAATTGCACTTTGTTGGAGCTGCTCAATTGGGAGGACCCTAAAAGGTTCCCTGTACCACAATGCAATAGAGGACGGCTTCCCCTGAATCCACTGTAACAAAATACATGTCCTTGCCAGGTGTAGAAATTTGCAAAGTAAAGTCATCTGCTCTGGTAATAAGGAGAATTTAAGCACAGATAAACCAAGAAAAGATACAACACCAGGTCCATATGAATTGTTCAATGAGAAAGGGAATGAGTTCTGTAGCAAACTTTTTTCACCATTAGTCACCTGTAAAAAAGGGAACTTGGGACATTATCTGTGTGACTGTGACCCTCGTTGAATTAAAACAACAACAACAACTTTCCAAAGGGTTTAAGATTTGCTGACCATCTGGAAAAGTGGCGAAGACTTACTAAACTAAAAAAAGTCCTACAGAATTTGTATTTGTCTACCTGAAATCATCCTTTTCAAACAGAAAACAAACAAGTTTGGTGTTTTTGGGAGACCAGCTCACAATATATATTAAAAACCAAGCCTTGAGAGAAAGTTTTAATGTCTATTAAGTTGTTCTAATACACTTGAGTATTTGCCCTATTAAATGTGAATTATTACACCAAACGTCTAGTTTTATAAACTGCAGGTTGCTGTTCCCAACTCCTACTGGTGGTAGTATATATGGAATGAGTCTTGAAAGAAGCTGACAGCAACACATTCAGTTACAAGTGGTGTAAAAAGGAATGTGTATTAACTGAGGACTGAGAAGAACTAACATTACCCATGCATGAGATGCCTGGTAATAATATTTAAAACCAGAAACAGCTTGACCCCCCCAGTCTCTTGGCAGTTGCAAAACTTTTATTTCAACCCTGGGCTTTTTTTCAAGGCTGCTTATATTTCGACAGGTATTTTTCAATTTTAGAGAAAGTTGACCTGTTCATTTTAAGAAATACCATTTGCATAACATAAAGTATCCTGGGGAGAATATAAATTTTTAGTAAACTATCCTACCCAGCAATGACAATGGAAGCTGGAACCATCAATTCACTGTTGACCTAGGTTAAGTCAGAGTATCGACAAATATTTTCTAACACCCAAGAATGTAGACCTGATTTAGTCCACCTAAAAATTTTAAGCTATACAGACCTGTACACTAGCTGAATGCTGTCACCTAATCAAGATCTTCAAGATAACCTTCACCTTTGAATCATATTTAGCCTGAATGTAGCTTACACTCTTGACTATTTAGATATCAGTATTTAGTGAGCATCATTAAAACAAAGTTTTGCACCATATTTGTCGGTTCCAGAGGCTTTAAACAGCTGGATTTGCATGCCCAAATGTAGGCGAACCTCGACTGGTTAATATTTGAAAACGCAAAAACATCTCGGAAATATGTTGCTTATCTAAACGTCTCAGTCCTCTTTTTAAAACCTGTACCTGGTATTAATGTGGCTTTCAGGTACCACGATATGTGACTTGGATAAATTGGTGTTAAAGATCTTGTCCACGATTAAGAATAAGAGTGATACAGGTCTACATTATGAGCATGGGTAGTTTTTTTTACATTCCACAAATCCATCCTGCCTATATATTGCGTGCTGTATCAAGGAGCTAAACAAGTTTATTGTTGCCACCTTGGTACATACATTTGCTTGAAATTTTAAGTACTAATCTGAAAAAGTAAAGGACTAAGCACTGATGCCATCATCTGAAGTGAATGCTATTTAACGAATGATGAAAGACAGAGCATCAGTTTTCTCCTGCTACATTAAGTAAACAAAAAAACAATGCGTTTTTTCTACTCCCACATTTATGATAATTAAATAAGCTTGAAGAGACGAGACATGTAAAAGGTCAAGCAATTATTACTTACCTTTTAATCAATTTTCTTTACATAACATCATCTGTGCTGGAATGTTTTTTTTAAACAAAAAAATATCCCACAACTATTAAATAATCCTTATAAATGTACATTAAGCGTCTTTCTTTTTGGAGTCTGCTTTAGCATTCTTGCCTCCACAGATTGCTAAATATGCATGAAAATTAGTAGCCACTTTCAACACACCTGCAGGCAATTACACTCAGAGCGTGATCAATTTTTACTACGGGGTCTCATCAGCGCTTCTGCACTTTAAAGGTTTCTGCTGGGAACTTCCTGCTGAACGGATGATGCAGAGACAAATTAGACTCTGCACTGACAGGGAAAAGTGTAAGTAACATAACTGCACTTTAAGATAGCAGGAGAAAAAGAATGATTTGTGTAATAAAGGCAAATAAAGATCAGATAAAGGCTTCAGGATTATCTTTTGCATGTATTTTGATGAAAGTAGAGATAATAAACAGAATGAGGATCATTTCCTCTAGAGCTTTTATATGTTTTTGAATTTTCTGTGCACTTAAGTACATTGTGTGCATAAAGAAATTCATGTGGTGGTGGCAAACTTTTCTCATTTTTTCTCAATATGTAACTTATTTAGATAGGACACTGAGAAGTAATTATGAAGAGTAAAATCTTTAATATTACATCTCAATAGATTTAGGAGAACATGTGAGATTTTAAAAGGTTTGTTATATTGCCTTCTGGGTACACCAAATTGAATCGTATGTTGAATGTTTTATTACTACATTAGTTGACGCTTCCATATTTTTAAAACAATAACTAACTCGTGAAAATGCTGTTAAGTCCAAAGTTTTACTCAAAATTTTGGATTTGGGGACACTTTGTTTAGCACACTGTTGAGTTGTATGTGTTTGTAATATCTCAGTAATCTCCAACTATGTTTGCATTCAAAAACAGAAAAGTGGAATAGAAATGCATTCTTTAGTGGAAAAAAAATATAAATAAAAAAAAATAGGAAAAAAAGTTTTTCCCTAAGAGCTAACCCGCACCATATTTAACGTTCCTTCACCCAGCTCTCTTATTACATTAAACCCGGTATAAATTTGCTCAGAACTTTAAAGAAAATGTACAAAAAAACACATTCTGAACCTTTATGCCGACAAATTTCCTATTTCCATGGATTCAAATTTAACAAGAATGTTGTAACTCTCATATTGTGTCTGCTTTCACTTTCCCAACCAAATTTCAACTGGCGTATACACACACACACACACACACACACACACACACACACACACACACACACACACACACACACACACACACACATTTAGACATCCTGCAAGGAAACAATCACTGACAAAGATCCAGTGATTTAGTGTCTGCCAAGTGTCACTCAGCTGGAATCCCTATTTCAAAGGGAAAGCAGCTGGGACCGGTTGATGGACCTTTGAGGGGGGGAACATTGCCATATCTTTGTTTGATACAGGATTGTACTCTGAACCTCGGCAGATGTAACAAATGCACAGCATGTCATTTAGAATTGTTTCGGGGAATTATTCTCTCTGTATATTAAAAAATATATATACCATAGATGGTGGCATGTTCACCCTCTGCAATTTCATACCGAGGACATTATTCTGAATCTCTTTAGCACTTTTCAGATGCGGTCTTAGTATTTATTCACTGTTGAACGTCCGCCCTTCCCCATTTCTATTGGTGTACTGTTGCAGGTTACCATGTTCCTCCATCCCTTGATACCACTTACCTCTACCTTTTCTATTCCTCCGTCACAACTTTTTTGCAACATTTTCGTCCCTATGAATTAAAGATGAGTATGTATCACATCTTATTTGTGTTAAATATCAACATTAATACAGTAAAAAAAACAACTATTTGCTTCAGGATAATCCCTTGACTCTGTGTGGGCGTGTTGTTGATCAGCATGACTGCTCCGTCTTGTTACTCTTGCTCTAACGGTACATTATTCCAGTTCCCCAAGTACATTTTATGGCAGGAGATCTTTTATTTCGTCCACCAAATAGACATGTTTCAGTTTAAAAAGGAGTCAATTTTGTGACGCAAATCCCAAAATGTTTCGTAGGCATTTGTTTCGTAGGCTTTTTAACCCTTTAAAGCCTGACCCAAGAATAAAACAAAAGAGAAAATTTACCTTTTTGGGGGTTTTAAGTCTTTATTTGGCCTTTTAACAAAATATGTAAAAAAAAGAAACAAATATACATTTTGAATATTGATAATTTATTACTATGTGATAAGTCAAGATTATGTTTTGTGTAGCCTTCTGCCCACTGTTATCAGGTGTATCTGATTGTGTGCAAAAGGGTTTTGAGCAAAGTTTTTACCATTAAATTATGCAAAAGGTGTCAGACGCAAAACATTTCAGAAACCGTATGTATCAAATATGATACATTTGGCATCACAGGGTTAAAAATGTTTTCTGAATGTCAGATGTCGCCTCTTTAAGATAGACATGACCATTTATTTGCAGTACTGAGTCAAACTATTTTGTGCCTCTTTAGGTTCTTCGTCAACTTTCCATCGGCAAAGCAGTATTTTAGCCAATTTCAGGACATGGAAGACCCTGAGGAGATGGAGCGAAGCTGTCAGCTTCGGCAACATGCCCGCCGGGTGATGAATGCCATCAACTCTGTAGTGGAGAACCTGCATGACCCAGAGAAGGTGTCATCAGTGTTGGCCTTGGTGGGAAAGGCCCATGCTATCAAACACAAAGTAGAGCCCATGTACTTTAAGGTATTGTTAAGGATTTTTTAATGATAATTTACCTTTTTCAATGTTTTTGTATATTTTACAACAATATGTTCTAATTTTTGTACTTTGATCAGTGTGCAAAGGAGCGAAAGCAAAATGCATTTTGAGAGATAATTATCAAGCAATGGTTCTTTACACTGGCTAAGTGGCGATATAATTTTGTTTCTCTATGGTTCAACAACCCTTTGAATTATCAGAGCACCCCAAATTAATTTTCTCATTATCAATCCATTATCATGGGCTGCATAACACATTACCCATTTGAATTTACTCAGCCGAAACTAAATCCCTCTGGATCTGCACTCATTTATTGGTGATGCTTCAACTGTAGCTATGTTGTTATCTCTCAGCGATGAAAAGTCATGAACTGTTGTGAATCCATTACTCTGGTTTTCTGTAGTCAAGATATCATTTAGCCATGGGTGACAACGGCACGCATGGCAGGATTTTTGGGAACAACCACAGAACAATTTCTTTTGTCAAGTTTCTTCTAGATTATTTATATATAAAAAAAGAAATATAGCAATTAACCTCTTTTTAATCCAATACAGCTCTGAATCATTACAGTGAGTTGAAAAATCTGAAAGTCACCAAAAGCACAAACATTCACAGGCACTGTTATAAAGATTGTTATTTGTATTCAATGCTTATGCTGAATTTCTCAATGAGCAATGTACAGCAGCAATATACCAAACTATATTGAGCTTTGTATGCAAGGCTGCATGATTAGGGGTAAAAAAAAAAAAAAAACCCTCCATGATTCAATATGAACTAATGTAGAAAATGTTCCTTAGATAATCAACACAGCAAAGAATGGTTGTATATAAAGAAGCAAATAAAACATTATGCACATATATACGAATAAATTAATGGCAATGATTCTTACAACAGTATCAAAGTGGTGCTGTAGTCAGAGAAATCAGATGTAATTGCATATAGAGGCAGGAAAACAGATTACAAATGGGATACTTTTGTTGCAGGGTTCAATATAGACAATGTGGTGACATCATTTTTAATATGAAATCCAATATACTCTCTTCATTTGCTTGAACACGGAAGTACACTGCATCTTCAAGTGCTTTGAATGCTGCCTGCAGCTAGCCTGTTAATGCAACTGTGGCAAGAACCATCATCTGATTTCCTTTAGAATTAAATTTGAAAGAGTAATAGATCAGATACTAAATAAACCATTGCTATAATTAGTCCCACTGAGTAATCCCTGCATTCCAGTGGGATCATTTTAATCATATCTTTGCCTGAAAACTGCAGCCAGGCACATAAAAAAATAAAAAAAAAGATTGTGTTTTGGTCTGAAGTCTCTATTTGGCCCTACATTTATCATTTATGACCCGTTAGTCAAAACTATGGAGTATTTAGTCAGCCAACTCACTGTGCAGGTTCTCTTACTTGGAAAGAGGAGGTCTGTAATTCACATAATAGGTACACTGCAATTATGAGGGGCAAAATGAGTTAAAAAAAAAAAAAATATCCAGGAAATCTCATTAGGATCACGATCAGAAAAAGCTTTAATCCCATGTATGTTTTTAGACATACAAGTAAATTGGCATAGCCAATATATCTCATGACCAATATATCTAAATCTGAAGAATTATAATTACCACTATAAAGTTTCTCAGTATAGATACAGTATAACTATACATGTATATACACACACATAGCGAGTTGATCACAGTGTGCATAGTAATTCCAATGAAAGTATCAACAAAAGTCCAAGCTGAGTGATAATGTAACGCATAGAGTTGCGGGTGAAGTGTCTAGTCATGTGGCATTTAGTGGAAAATAACTATTTAGTCAACAATAGAAGTTCATATCAATACTTTGTTTTCACATTTTCTTACAATTGCTCCCATAGTTGATTTATGGTTTGCCTAGTGTAGATTCACTCCTCCCGGCCTGGTGCAGCCCTACAGTTTTCTTCCTGGTGTCCTTGGACTGCTCTTTGGTTGAGTTTGGTGTCAGACTGTTTGAGGCTGTGGACAGGTGTCTTTTATAGAGATAACGCTTTAATAAAGGTATTGAGGGTGGGACAGAAGTGTTTCTAAAAGGGGACATTACAGGCTTGTGACAGTCAGAAATCTTGCTTATTTGTGGGTGATCAAATACTTAAATACCACCATAATTTAGAAATAAACTCTTTAAAAATCCTTAAAATGTGATTTCCTCTATCCTTTAACTGTTTCCTTATAGTTGGAAGTGTACCTATGATGAGAATTACAGACCTCTCTCATCTTTCTAAGTAGGAGAACGTGCACAATCAGTGGCAGAATAAATACTTTCCCCCCCATTGCATCATACTGTGTGCAGCAGGTTTTTGAGTAAAGTTTTTACCATAAGGTCTTACATGTAAAAGATTTCAGAAAGTGTATGTATCAAATATATAAAAAAGTGAGCAAACCTTTTTCATTAGCTGTACGTTTAGTGGCAATGCAGTTTGTCTGTAAAAAAAAAAAAAGGCATCTTTATTGCCTTTGTGTTACCTCTCTATTGGATGCTTTCCTGTTTCAGAGATCTCATTCTCGGTTTCACGTGCATTGTCAAACAAGCCCCGGTGTTGTCCTTTCTTCCATTTTGATGCAGTTTATTTTTTCATCCCTCTTCCATCATTCAGATCCTGAGTGGCGTGATGCTGGAAGTGTTAGCGGAAGATTTTCCGGAGCTCTTCACAGCAGAAGTGCAGACGGCGTGGACCAAACTGATGGGTGCGCTGTACTGGCATGTGACGGGGGCCTACACGGATGTGGGCTGGCTCCAGGTCTCCAGCTCAGCTGTGTGAAAAAATTGGACAGAAGAGAGGTTGACAAGTTTTTAGAGGTAAAAAAGTAGGAAAATGATCCGTGTGAGAAAAATGTGAATAGGGAGTGAGAATGGTTTCCCAGACATGGATAAGATTAATGTGGTAATCCATGCAACATTGTTCTTTATTTTGGTCACATTTTGGTGCTAAAGTTGGACTGTTCTGTTTTCTTTTTTTTTTCTTTTTTTCTTTTGCTATGCAGAGATCAGCTGAACATCAAACAATGTAGCTATACATCAACTAATGCTTTTGTTTTCCTTATGCAAATAGTGCATTAATGTTTGTTTTAGGAGTATATTACTGCTGATATTGATTATCCAGTTCTTCTGCTGTTAATTCATATTTTTTGCCGGAAGCATATAAAAGATCAATTTGTGTGTGGCGCGTTTTTCCAAACATTTTCCAAAGTCTTCTAATACAAGGGATGCCAATATTCAGAGGTTTGAAGGGCAATTCCCAAATATATTACATACTTTTACCCATTGAAGTAAGATACTTGCTGTACTGTACACATGAGTGCAGCTCATGAAATATCTCTCAGACTCAATTCACTATTAAGATATATGCCACATATGTTGCATATATCATTTCTAAGAAAAGATCATTAATATTGAATTTACACTAGACATCTAGTAAGAAGACCTGTAATACCAGATGAATTTGGAGTGTTTGGATATCTTGAACTGACTGAAATAAAACATCCATATGCTCTCAGTAACACACAGTACATTCCAAATATTTTCACAGTGAATTCTGGTACTTTTTTTCCAAACCAGCAAATGTAAGCAATGCCAAAGTGGATGATAATCAGCTCCAAAGTGGATGATAAATGGCTTCATTTTGATGAAAGCCTACATAACATTAAACGTGTACCACACAGATCTACTGTTCATGACCAATATTAGAAATGGTTGAATATCATGTGTAAATGTGTAAAAAAAAAATAAGTAATTTTGACAATATGTGACACATGGCTTATTTAATTATAGCATTAAAATCAACCCATGTGCAGGAAAGCGAAGCACGATAATGATGCCGTTTCCGAAAAGTAACCCAAAGCTTAAGTGATGTGCAGCTATAGTTGTTATTTTAGAATTATGTCAGACATTCACCTTTTCAAGGTCTGCCATCAATGAGCCACCACCTTTGGTGAAAACGGTCAAATAAGATAATGTTGCAAATATTACTATACGGAGTTCATTTCTGTGGAAACGTGGAAGAAGGTATCTTCAAGGCTGCTCATTTGAATATGCCTCTTGATATATTTAAAGACAAAAGAACATTTTCGTTTTTTATTTAGCTACACAAGGGGCAGTTGTGTGTGGAAGCCCCGGCTATGGGACCATGGAGCTGCTGACTGTTAATAGATCCTCTCTGTGTCCAGCTACAGTAGATCCTCGTATTAAGGGAAATTTCAACCCATTTTCCATCTTACTCCGTTCATGTCTTGTTCAACTTTACTAAGGTGTTGTTCGTACCAGTGTACAGTGGGCAGATGCGCTCACTCTTCTGCCTATGTTTACAACTCATTGACATGCTGATGTATCGATGTGTTGAGAAGAGCTGTTCTTGCTTTGCTTGTCTCTCAACCAGTAGGAGTAGTCGTTCCCTCGCTTATGATTTCATCACCTATGAGCTGACATTTTGAAATTGATATGGAGAATATCAACAAGTGGACACAATAAGCAACCACACACATACACAACTAAAACAGGCGTGGTACAAGACGTTTCCAGAAATAGTATTAACAAGACTGTCACACAGGTTTCCTCTTGAAAACCCTGTTAAAGAGATGTCTTGCTTTAAAGGCTGAATTAAGGGCTTTAGAAACCCTCACGGATCCATGAAAAGAAGTCATTTTCTTTTGATTTCTCACCAGTCCAGGGCAGGAAATGATCTTCTAACTTTTTTTCATTGCCTTATTTAACCTCACGGCAGAAGTCTTGCAAGCAGTTCCCATGTGAAAATCTTATTCTCGTCAATTCCCGAACAAACCCAGCAAATCTGTTTAGGATGGACATTTGATCCAATCTATAGTTGCATCTGGTCCAGTGACGTCCTGTCCCTTCCATCTGGCCCCTGTTTGCATCAGCATCTGGCATTAATTTGGAAGTAATGAGTCTCCTCTCCTCATTGGGTCATTCATCTATTCTAACTTCCCTTGCATCAGCAGGAACTGCACAACTAAGAGCAAAAACAATCACGATTCTAAAAGTGGCTTTGAACCTGCCAGAGTGTTTTCCTTTGAGGAACTGTCCGTCGTTCAAATGCGAATTAGATCAAAACAATTACGATTAGAAATAAAAAACCTTTTATCAAATGCTCTGGCGGATAATGCTGCGTTTACAGGCATTTCAACATTTCAAACGTCAGAATTTCAACAACTCTGACTGGTGATGAACAGAAGCAATCAAAGACAGAAGACGCATTTTCATAGTTATCCAACAGTTTAAAAAAAAAAGAAAAAGAATGTTAAATATAGGATGAACCCAAGGTCCTTTTCTATCACAAGGGAGACTTAAAAGCAATATTTCTCAGTTCCAGTAAAATGTTTTGGCTCTTCATCATTGCCTTGTCTGATATGAACTGCTGTGAAAAATGTCAAAATTCCTCCAGTTTCATAACCATTTCAATTTCTTTGAGACATGTGACGCAAGAGCACGATTTGCAATGCTTCCATCGCTATCGCGTCCCCTGCGACAAATGGGATGAGCCCAGTCGCTATGAAAGCCTTTTGCTTCTGTCGTTTGTCGCTCCCAGTGAGTCGAAATGCAGAAATAGGGGAGACACCAGCCAGTTGGTGCTCAGTTCAGTCTGAATTACCGATGGGGGGTGGATTAGTGCCTATGGAACATATTTGTCAGTCTAGGCTTTGAAAATTTCAGAAAAACAATGCGTGATCACATAGTGCATCCATCACAGCAGCATGGCCCCATAGTAATGAAGTCTGGGTCTGACCAGGCCAAAGGCCAGATTTTTTTTTACTAATTCCAAATATTTTGCACATTCTGAAGCACAAAATAAAATCCAAAAACCATTTACACAAGAAAACCGCAAAATGTAATTTATTTTTAATCTATCAAGGTTATTTCATAAAATGTATGGAAACTAACCAGAGTTAAATTAACTCTGGGTCAAAATTAAGTCTAATTATATCATTGGCATGATAAGCACTTTTGAAAAAAATGAGGCACAGATATGTATGGAAGAACTTGGTAAGTAACATTTATCTTTAAAAAAACAATTAAGAAATTAATTAGTTTAAGCTTAATCTAAAAGTGATTAAACTGTTTTACTGTGGCTTATATAACTGATTTCTATCTCTAAAGTAATGCCATGGGTTTTTTGCCAGTAGTAAGATAGTGTAAAATGTCCTATTCTAGCTCAAATCATGGTCATTCCTCTTGTTGAACAGAGATGTTGTTATGTTCTGTCTTGTCTTGTGAGTTTCACACCACCCAGCCACCTTATCCTGAGAGTTCACAGGAACTGATCAGTCGACAGAAAAAATAAATCATCATCAGCCTAAAAATAACAGTTGCACAACTAATTTTACGGTATGATATCTTCTCGATGGCTTCTTTGCATCCTTACAGGTTTCTTTTTATAAGCTAACTGTGTTAAAGTGAGGCGTGGCACGGCAGTGTGGTGGTTAACACCGTCGCCTCACGGCAAGAGAGTTCCGGGTTTGATTCAGAAGTGGACGGGGACCTTTTCTGTGTGTGTCCTCTTGTCCTAAGATAGCCTCAAGTGACCCCACTGGGAATAAGCTGTATAGTTAATGGATGGATGGAACAAGTGTGTGGTTGATAAAACCCCCTCACACACACACACACACACACACAATGCTATGTGATCTGGTTCATTTTGAGCTGATTGTCAAGCAAATGCAGATATTTTATCACTGCGGATGGAAGCTTCAGCTGTATACTTTTCAAATTAGAAGTTGATAAGACTGTACTCCTGACCTATTGTTAAAGCCCAGGTGGAGCTTATGTGCACAGAAATGTTACATTTATTACTGTCTGAATCTTTTCCAGACAGTACTTGTTCAATAAACAGCATTACACTCATGCAAAAGACATCCAAATCCCATGTAAAACAAGGTCTTTTCAAGATTTTGTGAGGAATTGTAATTTTCTATCACCTAAACATAAGACACATAGGATAAATAAACCCCAAAATTACCCATTTTCATTCCTGCAGTAAAGCTGTTGTCAGTCATAAAACATTGGCCTTATTCAGACCTGATTTCCAATGTGAGCTTCCCTATGATGCCAGACATAGACAAGCATATTTTGGACAAGCAAAGTTCCTAAAAAACAACCTGTGCCACGCTTTTCCTCAGACCCCTTTTCCTTGGCACACTATAAATGCATACTATCACTTTTCACACAAAACGTAAAGTGTGTCTTTACTTGTAGATATCCTCCAGTTGAATAGATTCCAATAATTTTGTCAGTCATTATAAGCTAAAAAAAATATTTTCCTTTGCTCATGAATTAGTTTACACAGTCACTTCCAGCATATAAGGGCATCACAGTATATGTGGACCTGTGTATTTTTATTGTGAAAACTTCCTGTTTATCAGTTAAAAGGAATTTCTATTTATATATACTATATATATAGTAACATACACACGTATATACATCATATATACATATACAAGTACATATGTATTGTATATCTATATTTCTGAAAAAGTTCCTATGTAATTTAATACTGTATGCATATATCAATGTATACTGTACTATCAGTTGGAGGGAGTGCAGTGGCTTTTTCGTGTTTTGAGCATGTTTGCACAGACTTGTACCTTTACAGACCTGGTGAAAATTAAACATGAATATTAATAAACTATGCTTATAAATTTGTCTTTCTTTTTCATTTTGATGGAGGCAATAGCTTTGATGTGAAGTTTAGTGAAGTAGGAAAAAATTTTTAAGACAAATCATTTACTATCTCTGGTGGAAAGATGGCTTTCAGGCTTCCATTGTCAATGTTACTGGTAGTCTAATTGAAAAGAAATCCTCCTGGTCACATCACCGTGTCATTTGTATTGACATATTTTTATATGCATCAAACTGATAATTCACTCCAAAATTAATATTAGCAAGAGTATGATGAAAGTGAAATGTGTAACATACTGAATAAAAGTGGCCAAGTGGAGCAGTTTAACTCATGAAAATGTAACCAATGTTTAAAAAGAGTTTCCCCCCCCCAAAAAAAAGAGTAAACAATCGCCATTACTTGTGTGGCAGGATAGCATCATTTGGCTAAGCTTTTAGACAGAAGCAAAGATACACAAAAATCTGTGTTGCTCAACGGAAGTGATTTTTCTAAAAATATAGAACAACGTTGATACATGATAAGTGTTGCAGCTGGGTCTCAGGTGTAACAACAGTTTCCTGCCAGTGGGTGGGTCAGAAGGGCATGAATCTAATTTTCTCAGCCAAATATGAACTTGACCCAAACTGCTGCCACACCTATTGTGCAAATCGAGGCTGACCCCAGATGAGAAAAGTCAAACGTGCATGATAAGATGATTTGGCAGTCTACGTGATATTGACTGCATTTCTTTGCTGCCACTCTACGGGAAAATACAAAAAACGCTTGAGGATGCACTCTAATTATCTGCCTAAGGCTATTATGAACACAGTTTAAGATGAACATATGTTCACACATTTCCCTTAAGATAATAACGCTATTAATAAAAGCTCAGTAAAGGGTAAACTATCAATGGACAGTTTAGAAGAATTTAAAAACTGTCACAATGTCCAATTTGTTATTCACTGTTTTGTTCTGATGCCTCTAAATATGTGATCATTTAAAGTTAACATTAAAGAGAGATATTTGTTGGATTAAAGTGTTTCCCAAATGTGCAGATATCAATGGTATTATAAAAATTGGTCCCAACGTTGAAATGTTATCTAAAAAAAGAATTCCATTTTCCAAATGAAAAAAGTATGAATTAAAAACAAGAACAACTAAAGGGTTAGATATATTGTGCAATTAAAATTCAAACAAAAGTAGAGACTGTGACCCTTAAAACAGCATGGCTCAGATTCTTTCTATAATGTAGAATGTACATTATGTATGTTCCTTAAGTGAAACTGTACAGGAGTACCACAAGGCATTGTTTTCTGGCTGGACAGGATACTGTTTTACTACCTATTGTATACAACTGGTCTTTATTACTGACTTCTCGTACAGTAAGAAATAATAAATATTCAAAGACTATTTATGTTTTTTTTTCTTTCATATTTTGTTAATGTCCAAATGAAGAGTTCAGAACAAATACACTATTCTCTCTATTTTCTCTTGGATCTGGCTTTAAAGGTTTAATGTCAGACAGGTTATTTATCAGAAACCGAAACAAAATGAGTACTTTAATCACTATAATCCCGGCCTCACCAATGAACTCTGTTTCAAATTAACTACAAAACATGTTATTCTACAACAAGACTTTTTTTTCTGTTTTGGCACAAAATTGAGAAGTTTGCAGGTTTCAGGTGTTCCCTGCTATCTTCTTATATATGGTGCAACAAATTAAACAATGTAAATATAAATATGTAAATAAAAATATAGTTGGATGTGACAAAAATTATATAGAAGCTGTGAGAAATTCTGTTTAAGAAGTTTCAGCAGAAGAGTGCTTCGGATCTGTCACTGTTCCGCTACAGTACATCATCTGGTTCATAATATCGCAGCACATCAAAAATCTAATTTACCTCTCAGTCACTGAAAAACAAATCTCTGCTTTCTGGAAAGTAAATCCTGGCCAAAAGTGAAGCTACAGCGCAAATCTGTGAGCCGCAGAGATGTCTTTTACTTTTATGTGATGTCCCAGCAACAGCAAATTGATGAGATTTGTGTGAATAGATTGCTATTTTTCTTCTAGTTAAATAGTTTTTGGTTTAAAAAAGTACATTTTTCATCATTGCAGCTCATCCTGGTACTTGAATCTAATTTCCTCAGCCAAATGCGAACTTGACCCAGATAAACGAGGACAGCACATCTCCTGCCTGCCACTTTACACTCAGATACTCTGTTTAGCACTCCCCGAGACTCAGAAACAAGAAATAATTAAAAGGAACGAGATGTAAATGTTCTTAATCAGTTATTAAGGGTTGACTGTTCACTGCTTGAAGCTTCAGGCGAGGGTGTATCTGACGCTCCAGTGGGAGTTTCATGCAGAGAGGAAGAAACTCATTTTTCAAATTCACAGTTTTATTCAAATGGCTGATAACACTTTGTGCTATCTGCTTTATTAATGCATAGAGGTCGTTTAGATTTTTCATGAAAGATTCTTACAGGCTGCATATTTATGGTTATTATGTTGTGTTTTTTTATGCACTTTCTCCCTGCAGAGAATTAGTGTAACACTCCTGAAATCAATGTTGCTTTCTTGCTGCCTGGCTTGATAACAGGAACAGGTGAAGCAGGTAAACAACATCATGGGAGTCAGAAAATAGTCTCTCTCCCATGAGTCTATCTATCATACACAATGTGGTTGAGAAGACTTGTCACCATGGCGACACATTTTCTTCCTGCCATATATTGTAATTTCCAGAGAGAACTGGTAACACAGGCTCATCACATCCTGTGGTCCTGATGCACAAACACACCTGAACAAACTCCACTATTTATATCAACCTGAAGAAACACACAGGATACATAAAAAACTTATACTAGACAGAACAAGAAAATCCAAAGACAGATGGAGAACAAGTCCTTACATATCATATCTTTCCTATAATGTGAACTGTTAATTGTGAGTTAATCAGGAACAAATGTAACCATACACATATAATAATGTATATAATAAATAAATGTACCTCAGCCTGTTTATTACAGTGTATTGAAGACTATTTATATGTGCTGCTGTCCTAATTCTTCTTAAGTGTTGGCATGTAAATGGTCTCTAGCTCTATGTTGAAAGTCTGTCCTCAGTAAAATGTTGTTGTTTTTCGTAATCTGCAATATATGGACATAAGAATCCACCATGGTCACGTATACTTAAAAATAAACACCTCAACCCTGTCATCCTCCAATATTTCTGGTGAGGAAAGAGAACATTTTTTGATAACTCAAACTAGGATGTTCGCTTTTATATCATCCATGGATACCAAATTACATCTCCTTGCAGACATCAATAAAGCTTTACCAAAGTCCCTCTGAAGAAAATCCATAGCTTGAGAGACAAGCTATGGAGATAAAATCTCAAATGTAGAGGATGATTCTTGTTTGCTTGGACAGGCTCATTAGTTATGTGGTGCAGTAGAGAGCATCTAAGCTCCTACAAGTTTAACAAGAAGGACAACAGATACAGACTTGTCAACATCAACAATACAAATCCACAAACACATGCAAAGCCTCAGAATTATGAATAATACCACAACATTTGAAAAGCATTCAAATAAACAATAACCATTGAACAGAAATTCCTCTGTGTGGTGGAGAAAACACTGGTATTCTACCCTTAAGTAAGAAATACCAACTGTGAAAACAGACTTTTTCCAGACTCAAACTGCATGACTTTAGCATGCATTTTTTGGGGGAAATTTTGTGCTTCAGTTGTTTGCTCATGCCTTTCAAAACTATTTATTTTGCAGTTAATGGATATGCCTCCATTGGAAGCAAAAGCATATGAATTGCAATGAAATTCCCAAATTCAAATTCCCAAATTTATATAAAAACTATAATCATTTTCTAACCCTGAAGTTGTTTCAAACTCTAACCTATAAGTTCAAAGTAAAGACAAGAAACTTGTGTCCCAAAAATGGACCATACTCAGTGAATAATTCTCTAAAATCAACCATTAAACTTCTGATACTAGCTCAGTACTTAATGATGAACCATGTGATCCCCAAGGCCCCTTTATAGACCAAGTCTATGGGGTCATCAGGTGGAACCTCCTTTCATCAGTGTTTCGTATAGTTGGGCCCACAACACCCCCAGGAGGTTAGTTAATTGGTGTTCCAGAGTCACTCCTAAATCTACTTGCATCTCCCAATCACAAGTGTTTCTTAAGCTGCCTTGCCTACTTGCTGTCTAGTCAACTGCCCCCCTCTTGAAAGAACTGAATTGCAACTCTCCTCACCTTAGACTGTCATGGGATTTTTAAGGATGGAGTAATGAACAAGTCACACTTCCTCAACTTTGCAGCCAGGAGAGCTTGTTCAGAAGAGTGTACAACGTGTACAAAACCAGTAGTTCTCTTTAGCTCTGTCACCCTCTTTCAGATTGTACAATGCTTGAATAGCATCCCTCTTCACTTGTGTGTAGTTGGTGCACGCCAATATGACTTTTCCCAAGCTCAGGTCCAACTGTCACAGATGTTTCCTGTTATTCCCAACCATATTATAATAACACCCTTTTTTTTCCAAAAGGCCTTGGTACGAGGATTTTAGATCAATCAACATGTTCAGGCTGCTCTGACTTCTGACCTCTTGTGACTCTGACCTTTTTATTTCACAAGACCTTTTTGAATATGATTATCTTCAATGCCTGCAGCTAAGCTTCTTAATACTTTATTGCGTTGCATCACATAGGGACTAACTAACTTTCCAGCCTGACAAAATATGTTTTAGAATTGCAGTACCTGAACACAATGAGCATTGAGAGTTTCAGGTTCTTGGAATTTCCCTTTCGCGGGATACTGCTTTCCACCATACTCCGTAACAATTTCCATCAAAATGCTTTTCCTCTCTCTACTTTCTCAATTAAACCACCGTCCCTACTTAGCCAGAGCCACTGCCTTTGTAGCACTTATCATTTCCCCCTGTCTAAAAAGCTGCTCCACCCTACACTGGACAGACGGTACACCACAGCCAGAAAACATGAGCATCACTAGA